CACACACACAAATACCCCCCTCGCTACGGCCCTGTTTGAGCGCGAGCCTGCGTTCAGTGTCGGCCATTTCTGAATACTTCATGTTAATTTAATGTTTGGAAAATATCGGCGAGAGGTTACTGCATGCATGTATTTCTAGTACATAAAATTTACTTACGACAAGCTTTGATGTACGTGTGCCTCAGCAGAGCTCGAGTGCCGAGACATTCAAATTTTAACAATACATTATTTCAATAGTTTTCGTTTTTTTGGGACACCCTTGATAATCTAGTACGGGGACCTGCCAAAAAACCGCCTAAAATTTGGCACTTTTGTAATTATAAAGAACTACCTCAACAAAGCAGGACGAAAGTGCAACGAGAACGGCTATTGATATCATACGAGAGCATAAGTTAACAATTAAAAACAGACGTTTTTGTCGTTTTAGAACGTCGCCGTAGCCGTGTTTACAACGGCAAAATACAAATTATTACACCTTGTACACAACGCTCACATTAAATTTCAAGCTGGGACAACTGCTATTTCAATTTGGGTCCTAGAACTTTTCTCAATCATAAACCCTGTGTTAATAGTCTTGCATGATCCTTATAACCTGTATTATTTTCATGCGATGGATAATAGAGGACAGGTTTTCTTTGCAATCATTTTGTTTCCTAGATAGTTAAGCTTATTTAAACACCTAACAATTCGATATGTGAATAATAGTTGACAGATTCAAAAGGCTCTTCTCATTACTCAATATTCAGGCTTCAAGTGCTCTTATTGAATTCAAAAGATATTCTAACCAGCTCTAATTTATAGCTCAGTAGCAAAGCCGACTGTTTGAACTTTACCAGAATATCCAGTCATTGCAATACACCGTGGCGGAAAGTACTTAGCCTTTGGCTACAGAGCCTCGTTTTCTGGATTAGAGCCCTCTTGGCAAACGTGCGGGAGTTCTTATCAGGTGACGGTTAATAGACTGAATGTTAGGGTTTAAGGAATTACGAAACCGGATGCCAGGTTTATTGAGATCACCCGCAACGAACGCCCTTGGGGTAGTCAAACCCTTCATGGTCTTGTTGTTTACGAAATCATACAGTTATGTTTAACAATTATACCATGAGCTCCAGTCTGATATCAGCACTGAGTCGCCTATCAGCCATACTGAACAAGGGCGATTGGTATAATTGGTTTAATAAATGGCCATGGTCTAATAGTGGCGTTAGCTGCAGCAGTATATATCGTTTTGACAGTTTGTTCGGCCAAAATCCGCATCGTTAACTTAGCCTGAAAAGTTGAACTGTTTTGTTTTAAAACTAGAAAGTGAAAGAAATGGTTCCAGAACGCGTAACCTAGTATATTTGGTATAGGGCTTGTTGACTGCAATTATTCATTTATGTTTCGTTGCGAATTATTCTGAACAATATGAATTTATATCCTCATATTATTCTACTTTTATCTTAAAGTTTCTTAAAGCGAATATCCTTTTCCTGATATGCACTATATATGAGCTGCATAATTATAATAATAGATAAGATAAAAAAACCGTTATATTAAGTCGTCGGTAACGAGAGAAAACTCTCTAAAGCTGATATCTCAATTTCAAAAACGAGGCACTATAATAGTCAAGGCTATTGGAAGAATTATACGCGGGTTGGTATTCGTAAAGTCCTTAATACTGTCCTTGATGCTAGCTCATGGTTGGATCTGATATATTGCCGATAAAGTTTCTTCTTCTACAATTGGACATATATATTAGACAAATGCAGACATTGTACATTATTACTATATAAGGAATTTCTGTATATAATCCAACGCCAGAAACCGGAACTTGATCATGGGACTAAAACTTCTAATTAAAGAACTTCAGCTAATCTGGATCTTGTAAATATAGCCATTTGAACATTAGCAGCGTCATAAATGATTCCTGATCATGACCGACTGCGAAGTCATTGTCGAAATGTAGAATAAAAAATTAATGTGAAAATTAACAATTTTAAGGTCATGTTACACGGTGCATTTTTCTTGCAACTTGCAATGCAATTCTACTCTTGAGAGATGTAAAATTGCCAAATACGAGTCTTCGTTACACTCCGCTGATGTTTTCTCAACACTTTATTATCGAGAATTCGTCACTGATTTCACTAATTAACATCTCTCAAGAGTATAGAATTGCATTGCAAGTTGCAAGAAAAATTGCACCGTGTAACATGGCCTTTAGTTTGTATATTTTTTCTATACTTCTTATACTTCTAAATTATATTTTCCTGCATAGGCTACTGAATAAATTTAAAAAGAATCTGCTACCATGTTCAGAAGAATCTGCTCGACCAAAAATGATTAGGGGAGGGGCGGCAGCCACACTATGTAACTATAACAACACGCCAGAAAATAAAACAGTATAAGGGGCGGTTCAAATTACTGATTCAGATCGAACTGAAATCGATTCAGAGCGATATCGGGCTAAGTGTGACGCCCAAAAAACGAGCATTAGTGGTCACATGCCGAGTAGCTAATTTGAGTTCATTCATTCGATTCAAGTGTGTGCAAGTGTGGACACTCCATATAAGAAGCTCAAGGGACCGGCCACTGTATAGTTTGAAATTGCTCTAAATTCCAGTACAAACGAGCAAGATTTTCCTTGACAAGTTTACCTTTTGTGTTTTCGACCAACAAGTTTTCTTGACAAGTTTACTATAGCGACCTTATATAAGCATGCAGGACCGGGAACACGACGGCAAATAAACTCGTTGAACCAAATGAATGCAGAAGAAAACCGCTGTCGTCTATTCCCCCATTGTATGAAAATAATGCAGTTTAAAGGATCAAGATTAACATAGGGTTTATGATTGGGAAAACTCTATATATAAGACCAATTTAAATAGCCCTTGTCCCAGTTTGAAATATAAGGGTTGTATACAAGACGTGATTATTTGTATTTTGTCGTTGTAAACAGAGCAACGGTGACGTTTAAAACTTCGGTAGGATTTTAATCGTTAATTTCTGTTCATTTTCTTGCATTAATATGATATCAATAGCCGTCCTTGTTGCACTTTTGCTCTGCTTGTTGACGTTCTTAATAACTGTCCCCCGTATACTAGAATAAGCTTTGCTTATGTTTGCATGCTACTGTCTCGTGTGTACGGCCAACAAGTTTTCTTTGACAAGTTTTCTTGACAAGTTAACATCCCATCGTGCACGCAACGTTGTTTCAACGTTGAAAGTTGGTAGAACGAAGGTTGCGACGTCGGCAACCTACAGTAGTATCAACGTAGCTCTGATGTCGTTTTACAAACGTTGGCTCAACGTCAGAACTCAGACGCTCGTGGTTCGTTATACGACGTGAACTTGTGAAGTATAATACCAACGTTGTTTCAACGCGGATCCAACGTTGAACTGATGATTGACGAGATTGGCAACCTAAACTCAATGTTGTTTCAACGTCAGCAGAGTAACGTCACTAACAATTTGCATTTCCAATCCTCACTTTTTCAACGTCTATCCAACGTCTGGGAGGTGATGTCCAACGTTAATTCAACGTTGAATCAACGTCATTTCGCCCATTAGAGCTGGGTTTCTCCGTCTTCCTTAACAAGTTCCCTTTCTTGTGTATACGGTGAACAAGTCTTCCCTGACAAGTTTCGCTTGATAAGTTTTGTCAGTGTGCACGGAATATTGTTAAATATTTATCACCCGTCAAGGCCGCTTTTGTTTGCCAAAACCGTTCTTGGCGACCACACACCCACGAACAAATTTTCCTTGTCCAAAAGCCGGCATGATTAGCTTTGGAACAAGGTTCCTGGCAAGAAAAACTTGTCAATTTTTGGCCGTACAAACGAGCGAATAAAACTTATTAAGGAAATCTTGCTCGTGTGATGGGGCGTAATTTAGATGATCGCTCTTGTGCAAAGTGTGCCTTTTAAAGAGTCTTTGTTTTCGAATTAAAGTGCCTTTGAAAGAGTCTTTGTTTTTGAAACAGCAAACTTCGACATTTCATTGCTTGTTTCATAACCATATTGTTTTATAAATCTTAAGTTGTTTGATCTTGTTTAGGTATTGAAATTGAGCAAATGGGAATTACTGCAGGCAGAGTTCCAAAAAGTATATCGATGCACATACAGTAATTTTGAAATACCCGTGCCACAAATTTTGTTTCGATGCCAAAATAGAAAAAAATACTTCCCTTGTCTGCGTTGTCTTCAGCTTTCTTTCTACCTATATTAGGGCCTGTGCATATATGAACCCAGTTTGCCAGGAAGCTTACGTAAGTGCATGTATGAATTATTTCTGTGCCAGTTTATATATAACTTTTTTATCCCACCTAATATATTCCGCCCCGGTGGGACGACAATATGTAAACATGCATGTAACTATAAACAAACTGCTCTTTGTATATACGACTTTAATAATGTCTGTTTAGGTCTATTATTGTTTATTTTTTGTTGTATTTTCCAACTAGGCCGCGTTCAATACTACAGTATATTATAGGTCAAAATCGGCAAAAATGGGTGGGATAGAGGCCTCATCTAGATCTGGAAAATTTTATCCCACTTGATTGAGATCCCACCTAGCGCAAGGTGAGGTCTCCCCTATAGCAGGGCTGGCTCGTGTCTCATATTGAATTTTAGACATATACAGATCTCACTCAAGCGAGTTTCCAGATTAGGTGGGCTCATATGAACAGGCCCTAAGTACCTCTTCGCGATTTTCATTGTTATTCCAAACTGAAGAAAACGGACTTCCTTTTTCTAGATCTGGGGGATTATTTAGATCCCTTCAATGCCTAATATGTAATTTCGGAAGTGTTGTGAAGGGGCCCTCACAATCGATATTGTATTATAGTATAATAATCAATGCGTGGTATAGTTGCAGAGTGCAGAAATTATAAAAGATCGGTGGTCGCAGTGAATTTCCATCACATTTTGTTTTCTGGTTAAACTGTGTACTTGTCCTGATTTGGAGACCAAAAACTTCACGTATACAATAGGTAAGTGCAGCACTATACAATTTTATTTCTATTCTCCTGTCATTGCCATGCAGTTAATAGTCTCACCAAGTTTGTAAGCTTGGAATACGATATGAGTAAAGATTGTCCTCAAGCTTACTCAGAAATACTTCATGAGTCTCCGAGAGGGGTCGAACCCTCGACCTTCTTAGTTTCTAAATAAGAAACTATAAGGGGCTGATCACATGGAGAAGTTTGAATTTTTGGGTTGAATTTTTAAATTTCAGCTAAAACATGGGTGAATTATCAGCCTGAGCTGAAACGATCAAGTCATAAATGTTCTTTGAAGAATTTACTAGCTATTACCTGATTTGTGCGAGACTGTTGTGATATGATCTAAACATAGTACAGTCCGATCCCCGCTCCGGGACTCACAAGTATTTTCTGAGTAATAAAAATTGTCATGAAAATTACTTATCATTCTCCTGTCATATTTTTCACTGAGATGCAGGCTGCATGGTACGTACGTTGTCACCGAATGATCAACCTTTTAACTTAATTTCGATTCATTGTATATAGATATGAAGCTGCTGTTGGTTTGTTTGTGTGCAATGTTTGAATTGGTAAGCATAATATGATATGCCTAAACGTAGGGCCTGTGGTTCAAACGAGTGCGATTTTACACAAATGTGTAAAAATTCACACAAAATCCTTCTACAATTTGTTATATCGAGTGTAGATGCCAAAAATGCAAAATAATAAATTATTTCTGTGTTCATATTACTTTTTTATTCCAGATAATACCCCCCCCCCCCCTCGGCGGGAGAACATTATGTAATACAAGGCCATCGAAATTATTGGGGAGGGATGACTGGGGGGACTTGAGCCCCCCCCCCAATAATTTCCATTTGTATAAGCAAAACACACTAGAAAAGTGCGAAAGCAATACAGATTTATTCAGGTTTATTCTTGAGCCCCCCAATATTGATTTACTTCCGACGGCCTTGTGTAAACATGGCGTTTTCCAAATATTTTTTGTTGTAAGTAAACGATAAACGAACTTGTATTGCGACCTTCGATGTCTGTTTAATTAAGGCATGTTTTATACGTCGAATTTTGGTCGTGTCGAATGCAATGAAGACGATAAACCTCATTATTTTTCATTATCTATCGTTTGAATTGCATTCGACGCGACCGAAATTCGACGTATAGGGTAGCAAAGTAATTGTAGTTCGCTACTGTAGCGAATTATACCAATTTTTCACATAGGGAGTACTTTTTAAAACAATAGTTCTAGCTGCAGCGCGAACTACATTTTTTCGGTATAGCAAGCATAGTTGATTAATTTTTAAGGAACAATTAACCGCCGTATTTGGTACTTTATTTCAGTGTACGATTACGTTTAGGACGGACCATTAGAAAAGTGTGGGGGGGGGGGGGCAGAAAAAATGCATACAAGCATGAAAGGTAAAAAATAGAAAGTATGCAACAGGAACGTCACAAAACTAAATTGTAGCATATCCATAAAATATTACAAACATGATTGACAACCTGAAGAATTTTTTTTTTCAGCTTTATTAGGAACTTAATATATTACATTAATAAGGTACAAATACAACAAACATGCAGTTCCTAAACGGGAAAATAGCGAACGGGCCATAATAGCCCATGCGAGGCTACCTCCCGATTTGACTTCTGTCGACATTTACAAATTTACATAAAATTAAAAATTTAAAATCGTTGAAAGCACGTTTACACACATTCAGGCCAAAGTGATAGGACCTATGTTAAAATAATTCTTGAAATAATTCTAAATTGCAAACATGAAAAAAATACACCCCCCCCGCTTTCACTTTTCAAATGGTCCGTCCATTAGTACACACCTTAAATGTCCGATTTAGGAATCAAACAGTACGGCACATACATACCTTATTCTAATACGCTAGCCTCAACAAGTGGCAGCTGGTTTTACACGAGGGTTTGGATTTACAATACAAAACATGTTAGGAACATACTCTCTAGATGACACTACAAGAAGACAAAATATAAAAATAAACAAGCCGGCTTCAACTCATCGTTTGTTTCAGAATCGTTCTAAAGGAGCTTATGGATGCAGTATTTTTTACTTCATAAGAAAAACTGTTCTAAATGGCTATGAAGATTGAAACCACAAAGTAAAATTAATGAGAATAAACACTGCATAAATCTTACCGACTATAAAACTTGATCTTATATTTCTTGACATTCGCAAATTACATGTGAGTTTCTTTGCGTCCTGCATCCTTTGACACGCTTGAATACTTTTTCACTGTTTGTATATACTTTCAGCAAAGCCAAAGCTCAAAAGACCAGCTTAAATTTCACTCCAAATATTAAAACTATTAAAACTACAAGCTTCTCCAACAAGCCTTCCCGTCTTCGACTGCATGGTAATTAATGACGATTAATTAATATTTCGCACTAAATTAATAAATTATTTGCATATATTCGTTTTTTTTACTTTAATTTACGACGCACGAAAGACTTTCTTTTGTCTGGATTCAATGTACAGGGTGTCTGAAAAGAGAAAAGGAGATTCTTTAGAAATTAATGCCCAGCATAAAACACGTAAAAGAGCCATAACAAAAATATAATTTAAAATATTTATTTGAGCAATGACATACAAAGCGGAAAACACGGAAATATGAATAAATTACAACTATTTACAAGATATTATATTACAAAAGTAGAAAGAGGAATGGATCAGAGTAGAAGTAGAGGGACCGAGCTGCCCTGTAAGTTGAGAAGTTGTAAGTTGTAAGTTCGCACCCAAATCTCCCGTCTTTGTTCCTCGACCTTTCCCCATCTTAATATTAGATTCGTTTTTCGTCCAACTTTACGTTTGTCTCAATACTCTTCACCTTTAAGGACAAAATTCCTAACGCTTTAAGATCTTGTGTTGTGTATTCCTTCACGTGTTGTTGCTGTTCCGCAACGTATTTGGGCCAAACGGTCCGTCACTTGCACACACAAGTTTCTGAACATTTGGGTGTTTCTCCTCTAACAAGCAGTAAAAGCAGCAATCCGACCATGTCTAGTATCCTTTCCCATCTTGATAGCACTCGTCACTCCGCCTCTCTTAATGATTTTAAGATTATTTCTTGTTGCTCTTCTCCAGACGAACTCCTCATTCGAGAAAGTCTTCTCATTAACAAACTCAAACCCTCTCTCAACTTACAGGGCAGCTCGGTCCCTCTATTTCTACTCTGAATGATCCATTCCTCTTTCTACTTTTGTAATATAATATCTTGTAAATAGTTGTAATTTATTCATATTTCCGTGTTTTCCGCTTTGTATGTCATTGCTCTGAAAATGTCTTAAGTTAAAGACGAAACGTTAGCTTTCAAATAAATATTTTAAATTATATTTTTGTTATGGCTCTTTTATACGTGTTTTATGCTGGGCATTAATATTTATCCTAAGATTACGATTTCCGCCTGGTTCATCTATCGCAAGTCTTTAGAAATTATCCTATTGTCATAATTTGAATTCCAGAGCATTATATGCTGAACGCACGGATTTGTAAAATATTGACAGAGCATATGGTTTCATTTTAACAACTTTTTTATCTTTCCAATTTAGGCGTTTGCCAATGTGGTGAATCTTGAATTTAAAAGGACTGCTGAGGTATGATCTCAAAAAGTACTGAATGGTTCATTTTATATTGATATATAAGTATAATATATTAACACTTTATTGTTTGGTCTATTTTCAATATAAATAAGTTACAAAACACGAAAGATGACCATAGGCTTATGTCCTAGTTTAAATACCCACACGCGAACAAGTTGTTGACAATTAAGTCTGAACAAGTTGTTATTATCTTCTTGTAAAAAGGTTGACGAGGCCAACAGACTCACAACAAGTTGAGATTGTTTCAACAAGTCTTTACTGCCTGCACGTAACAAGTTGTTAACAAGTTGATGGCCTGGGGCCGGTTGTATAAAACTCTTAACTACATTTTAACTACCCGTTTCGTAGTTAAATGGTAGTTAACTCTAAAATACGCAATTCTGATTGGTTAACTTTCACACTAACTATAGTTAACTTTAACTACGTTTTTATACAACCGGCCCCTGTATATGAAACTTGTTGGAACCACTTGTAGCAAGTCTGTTACCGTCGTGTACTTAGCTTGTGTAACAAGGTGATAACAACATGTTTCAGACTTGTCACAACAACTGGGAACAAGCAGTGAAACACATTCTGATATCGGCTTGACAACAACCTTGTTACGAACAACTTGTGTGCAAATCTGTATCAACTTGTGGGTTTTTACGCGTGTACCCATATATAAACGCTGCATACATTTAGTCCGAAATGCATGCATGCATGAACCTCATTTGAGGTTTGCACATGTACAGGGTGTCTCAAAAAAACCGCTATGGAAATTCAACAGGCTGTCGTGCATAATAAACGTGGCTAAACAATTAAATTTTTACATAAGACGAAAGAACAGTTATTTAGATTTTCAATTTTTAAATCGTAACGATGCGAAATGGCCACATACTCGTCAAATAAAAATTGCCGGTCGAAATCACATTCTTCCACCGTTGGAAATTGCATGGAAAACGAACCATAGACAATTCCCAAGAGGGAATTGAATGTTAAATTATCTAAAAAGAGCTCAACTCGTCGATCTTCGACATCTTCGTCTTAGTGAGACAATAACTCAATAAGAACGTCCATAAAACATGGCTCAATTAACCCCTGAGCAGAGAAGATTCGTAATCAAAACATTTTACGAAACAAATAGCGTGCAGGTTAGGCTACTTGCAGCAGGCTCGCGTTGCTTTTGGATTGACTAACTTTGCATAATTAATGTATTCCCAATTTCCAACAGTGGAAGAATGTGATTTCGACCGGCAACTTTTATTTGATGAGTATATTTCTCATCGTTACGATTTTAAAAAGGTATCATGCATAGAGAAGCTAAATAACAGATCTTTCGTCCTATGTAAAAATTGAATTGTTTAGCTAAGTTTATGATGCACGACAGCCTGTTGAATTTTCATAGCGTTTTTTTTTTATACACCCTGTGTAATAAAACACATGTAAAAATTTACTTTTATTCCTTGCGTAAAGATAGACATGTTCGACGATATATATTTATTTCTTTTTGTTGAAAATACTTTTATAGACTGGAAGCATGAACCGTTTTGAGACAACCGATTTGGCAAGCAATGATGAAGCTCACGAAAAACGTTTTGTTGTCCCGAATGGCTGTGGGGATACATGTAAGCTACGATTACTTAAATTTTTTTCGTGGCCAACAGAACTGTGACCACCAATAAATCCACTATGGTATTTTTGACATGATAGAAGACGTTCTTACAATTTCTATAGTTATCGGTTGGAAATGATAAACATTGTTGAATAGAAAGTTATTAACAGTGGCCTCTCTTCCCTCCTTGAATTCAGTTGCCAGTGAATAAGTAAATAACTATTATACAGGGTGTCCCAAAAAAACGAAAACTATTGAAATCACCAATAACAATTTAATTGTTAGAATTTGAATGCCTTAGCACTCTGTTGGTTCCCACAAGTGCATAAATGATTGACATACGTAAATTTTATGCATAAAGAACTGCTTAAGAAGCTGTTTTTAAATCCCAGGAGCAGAAAATCGCGCACTTTACCAGGAGATATTCCTAACTAAATTCTAATGCATGCACCTTGTCAATATTTTACACATCATTACGTCCAGCTGTTTGGTAGGGCATTCAAATTTAACAATAAGTGATTTCAATAGTTTTCGTTTTTTTTGGGACACCCTGTATAATAACTACAGTGAAACACGCAATTTTATTGGTCAACAGCCGTGCAGGATCAGACAATCCTGCACGGGAAATTCTGAACAGAAATTCTTGCACATAATTTTACAAATATACTCGCATTGTAAAGTTTCATTGTACGATACCTTTCGACTTTGAAGTAAGTTTCCAATAGTTGAGACGTTGGTTTAGTTGTATGATAAATTTCTGATCGATACATGCATTGCTATTCAGCAAGTAGCAACGCGTAGCGTTGAAATTCATCAGACCATGGCATGCAAGTACAACATCTCTCGCTTCAAATTGATCAAACGCTTCGCAATCTTCACATATTCAGGTCGAGAATCTTCAAAACTACTTTGGCTCTCTGTTTAGCGGGTTTTCCATTTCAAATTTCGTAATTTATAGAAAAAGTCCCTGTATTTTCGCTGTATATTTTCGCGAATTTGCGATCAAATTCTGTTCACATATGTTGTTGTTTTCAATAGCGTGGAGTAGCGATTCTCCAATTGGTAAATTCACGATTGTTGTGAGAACTGCACATTTCATCAGTAATTTTAATCAAGTTAACCGTCGTTTCACTGTAGTAATTTTATAAAACAATTACCAAATGGTTTTCCCGTGCAGGATAGCATGATCCAAGCACTTGGGATGTTGCCCGACTTTCGGAAAGCGTAAAAATACACTCGCCTACGGCTCGTGTATTTTTACGCTTTCCGAAAGTCTCGCAACATCCCGCGTGCATGCATGGATCACGCAATCCTGCACGGAAAACCATTCGTTATTCCTTTAATGAGGTGACACCGAGATGGCTGCCACAAGTCTGATTGCCAATGACTTAAAGGATTCTAAAACTCAGCAGAAGAGATGTGGGAAGCTATATCATTCAAGTTGCATAGGAAAATATATTTTCTTGCTGGTGTAGCCAGTTTTTGGAACAAGTCACAATCTGATTTGCAGAGATTTTGGCAGATTTTAAAATCTCAACTGATTGAATTGAACCTTTTCCAATCCTATAGTCTTCATATCAGTAGTTTCAGTTCGTATAGGCTCGCCATATGCAGCAGCCCGTAATCTTAGCTATATATAATAATAAATATGTGTCCAATTCATGTAAGTGAAAGTTATTTACACCTTTTTTTATAATTTCTGTTTAGGCAAAAGTGGATACGTTAAATCAAGATATTGCATACACCCTGCAAAATTCTGTTTTGGAAGCGGCCAGGTAGTACATGTCCCTTTTAATCCCCCGTTTCAGAGAGCACCAAAAGTAATGATTGGCTTAACGCTGGTTGACACTCACAAAGATCAAAATGTCCGCGTTCGTGCTTCAGTGGAAAATGTAACCAGTACTGGATTCAAAATCAGATTCTCTCCATGGGATGTATCTATCACGTATCAACTTGGTGTCAACTGGATGGCATGTCCATGAACGTGTACAGCACGTGAATATGTTAATACACCCGCTTCTGGGATAATGATTTATTTAAAGTCGAAAAACGCAGGAAGTGGTCGCTCAATCTTCCGAGCCAGAGGCTCATGTTAAAAGCGCTCGACATTAACTATTACAAGTTATTATTATATACAGAAAAACCATAGGATATTAGAATTATTAATAGATAGCTACAATATAAGAATAGTTCAAAATTACGTATAGTTTAAGATAGACATCTATTACAAGTGCAGCCTTTCTTAATGTCCTCTAGCATCAAGCTTTTTAACATTGCCTGAAAATGGCTGCCTGTTGTTGCACATTTAATGTTTTGTGGGAGTTTATTCCACACATGACTGATTGTATAGGTAAAAGAGTTATGATGAAATAAATTGTTATAAACCTGTTGAATCAATGTTCCACGATTTCTTTTGACTTTCCAAGGATCATCGACTGTGTTTTCTCTGGATTCATTAATAGATAGTTTTCTTCCAACCAATTACTTAATTTACCTAAGTCATTATTCAGCGAGAACTCGAGGGCCATTGGGGAGACATCAGTATTACAACCATTCATATCATCCGCATATAAGGGAAGAGTTGACTCACTAATTACACCGTTCAAATCATAACACAATGTTGTGGCATCCATGCCAGTGGTGCACTGCACCTTGTTTGCCACCTTCCCGATTTTTCTGTGGGCACACAATTGACTTATTGACTTGACTTTGACTTGACTTTATTAAAAACGGTACTATTTCACCAAGATATTTACAAAAATTAAGACGGGTGATCTTCCAATAGGCCGTATATAGCTATACTAATTACACATATACTACAGTATAACTAAATTACACACAAATTACACACTTACAGTTAGACTATTTTTAAATGTAGAGATACTTGTTTTAGCTTTTATGTCAGCAGACAGATTATTCCAAGTCTCAGCTCCTCGATAGGCGAAAGACTTTTTCATAAAATTAGTTTTAGGTTTAGGTAATGCAAAATTGAATTCGCTCTGTCTTGTATTGTAATTATGTATTTCATTTGAGGTGATGAAAAGTTCCGTTAAGCAATTTGGTAACATGTTATGTTTGGCTTTGAACATTAGGACGGCTAAATGATGTTTTCTTTTAGTCACGAGATTTGGAAAACCGACCTTGTTCAAAACATCGATTGTACGTGTATCATAGTTTTCACGAGTTATTATTCGAAATGCTCTATTTTGAAGCTTCTGGAGTTTATCAGATAGTACTTTACCCAGACAACCCCAAATCTGTGAGCAATAGTCGAAATGTGGTTGAATTATTGATAAATAAATTTTGATCAGTGTTTGGTAATCTAGAATGTCTCTCAATCTTTTAAGGATACTGAGACCTGAATTAACCTTTTTTGTAATTTGATCAACTTGAGCATTCCATGAGAGTGTTTCGTCAATCATTAAGCCGAGTGATTTGGTCGTTTTGACTCTATTAATTTCTCTGTCTTTTATGAATATATTAGGCGTTATGTTAATATGATTGACTCTTCTATTACTACCTATTATCATGTATTCTGTCTTCGTTTTGTTTAAAGTTAGTTTATTTGCCGACAACCAAACTGAAACGTTTTCTAGATCTTGATTGAATTTATGTGTTCCTTCTTCCCGCACGGATTGTGTGTTCCTTCTTCCCGCACACCCAGCATAGCATTCCTGTTCAACTCGTTATTAAACAATAATAGGCCAAGCACGTCATCTTGGCTAAACAGCTTCGTTATCGTTTATACGTAACATTAGTTGAAGCCTACTGGGGGGTGGGGG